AGGCAATCCATCTACGTCCTGAGGACCTCGCTGCCACCGTCCAAGCTCGCTTGGCCCCGGCAGATGAACCTCAGGATTAAAGGGTGGGCTCAGTTCCGCGCACACTGTGTCTCACCTAAAAAATCCAATGCGCAGGCTGGAAGGTGGAAAGACCTTCCCTGGTTCTTCGTTCGCGAAGACTGGCCATTATATAATTTTTTATATTATAAGAAAGATATTAGAGAGGGTCCAAAGGAAGCAAAGAGGATGGTGAAGGGCCTTGAGGGGAAGCTGTATGAGAAGTCTGAGGTCACTTGGTCTGTTCAGCCTGGAGAAGAGGAGAAACCTCGTTGCAGTTATAACTTCCTTGTGAGTCAAAGAGGAGGGGCAGGCACTGATCTCTTCTCTGGGGTGACCAGGACCCAAGGAAATGGCCTGAAGTTGTGTCAGGGGAGGTTTAGATCAGATATTAGAAAAAGGTTCTTCAAGAAGTTCAAGAAGTGTTTGGATGATACTGTCAGGCACAGGGTATGACTCTTGGAGTGTCCTGCACGGGACCAGGAGTAGCATTCAGTGATCCTCATGAGTCCCTTCCAATTCAACATATTCTGTGATAGACCCCCATAGACCCCCACCTGTCTACAACTTCCTTTCAGGTAGCTGTAGAGAACAGTAGGTTCTCCCCAAGCCTCCTTTTCTCATAGTTTTTAAGCACTTTTGGAATACACTAAAAATTCTGTTTTCCAAACACTAATCTTTATCCTAGTTTATCATGAGTGTTGTGTGGTGTCTTCAGTCCCTGTCACTGATGAATTAAAAAAAAAAATAAATCTGCACAAACCAACAACAGCAAAAAGACTCACACGATAAAAGAGACAACATAAAGCAACCTTACCAACCAAAAAATTAAATTATTTTTTGCAAAACACGTAAGCTTACGCCACATCAAGTGGTTAAAGAGGGGTTGTCTTCCTAATTGTTTTCAGAGTAAACAAATGGTACAAAGGATTCTGTGGCTCCACCACTCACTCCCCATGAAGAGGGGTCTTTGTTGACTATGCTGTGTTTTTTCCCCTCCAAGTATTCCAGCGTTGTTTATTTTCTCAGCCCCTAGAGCACGGCTCGCTTTCAGACAGGCGATGCTCTGAAGGGCGCAGCGGCAAGCCCCTTTTTTCCTGCAGGCGCTGGAAGGCAGGCGCTCCCGCAGGGAACCTCATCCCGCCGAGCCCCTCCGTCCGCCCGCAGCGCTCTGCCACGAGGGGTCACCAGAGGAGCCCGCATCACAGCGGAGTAAAAACACCCAGCAGCCCGTACCCCTCCTCACCGCCAAAAAAAACCACCCAAAACCAAA